GCAAGTAGATTTAATTATTAGAAAACAACTTAGGGAAACACTTACCAGAAGGTCCAATGTCCTTTACAAATGTTAAGAATACATGTACTTGGGGCTGGCGCCGCGGCTCACTAGGCTAATCCTCTGCCTTGCGGCGCTGGCACACCAGGTTCTAGTCCCCGTCAGGGCACCGGATTCTGTCCTGGCTGCCCCTCTTCCAGGCCAGCTCTCTGCTGTGGCCAGGGAGTGCAGTGGGGGATGGCCCAAGTGCTTGGGCCCTGCACCCCATGGGAGACCAGGATAAGTACCTGGCTCCTGCCATCGGATCAGCGCAGTGCGCCAGCCGCAGCACTCCGGCCGCGGCAGCCATTGGAGGGTGAACCAATGGCAAAAGGAAGACCTTTCTCTCTGTCTCTCTCTCTCACTGTCCAATCTGCCTGTCAAAAAAAAAAAAAAAAAAAGAATACATGTACTTGGAAACATCTCTTAAATACCCAACATGGTGTAGCTTGTTTAACCAGCAAATTTAAGCACAAGTAATAAAATGTTTTCAGTTGTTTTTTTTTAACAAGTTTACAGAGATTTAGGTTACACGAATTTTCAATTAACTTTAGCTGTTTAAACTTACAGGAAACATTTTGTTACAGATTAAAATATAATCAAACTCTACAGCAATATGAACACTTGAGATAACTTTCTTGTATAGATAACATTTAGTCCAGCAGAGACATTAGAAAAACATACATAAATGATACAGAGGAGTTGATTAGATAGATGCATTTAGTTTCACAGCAAACTATAGGGTCACATACATCAGAACAATAAAGCAGTTTCAGTGATAGTTGTTAGAATCTTTAACCTTTTTTATAAATTACCAATTGATTTGAATTACTTTCTGATCTTAGTAAACTCAGTTAACTATACTTTTTCCTAGTTGGTACCTGTAATTCATTATTGGCTTTATCAGTCCACAAAGTCATCCCAAGGTACTGAATACAATAGATGTAGCTGGAAAAAGTCCATTGCAACCAATAGGAGGACAGTTAAACACAGAACCAACAACACTTAGTTTTATGAGTAGTAAATCTGATATACAAAACTGTGGATGACAAAAGACCTTAAGTTGTTATATTTAAAATTACAAACTTGTTAACCAAGAAGAGACACTTGTTTACTTTACATAGCATTTTTGAAAGCACCTGTAGGATTTTACAAGGCACACTTAACTTTTTAGGCCTCTGGGGCCCCTTCACCAAGATGACCATTATGTTCAGTAACACTAGATTACCAGACTTTATAATTTTCAGACATTTGTATTAATACCATTTTATATTATGACATAATACAGACCAAATTTGATCACTGTTACAGGGTGATTATTTAAAGGTTTGAAAATAAGCACATATTTAAATAACCCATAGTTCTTAATAAAAACTCAGTTGTTTTTAAACAATTAGAATTTAACAAAGACATCAAGAGAACATAATAGATTACTTTAACTTATTGCTTTAACAGAGAATCAGTAATAGCTTCCGTGTCCAAAAATTTTTTTTCTTATAACTTTTTGTGACTTTTGCATACCCTCTTACTTCAAAAAATTCTTTATGCTTGTGATGTTTTTTATCTGTCAATTTTCTTGCTTTACATTTTGAAATAACCTATTAAAATCTTTAAATTAAGACAACATTTTTAAACAAGGTAACACATTAAATTTCAGTGTTAATTAATTTTAAGTGATGTTGAACTACTTTTTATATAGACAATCTATGAAAACACGTTAGCAAATTTAAGTAGTTTTTCTATAGAACATAAGGTGTAAGGTGTTGAAAGTACCAAAGTTTACATTTAGACACTTATCTCATTTGTCTTTACCCAATTTAAATTAGCAGTTACACCTAAATGATTTAAGATCCTGATATTATATATCTCTATCTGAATTTAATTAAAATTAAAATTGCATTTATCTAAAACAAGTGCTAATTACCTATTACTGTTTCATTGAGTACTGACCACCCAGAAATTTTTTAAAACAAATTGCAAAATAAGTTCAGCAAGTTACAAAGCAATATCTTCTGGCTTGTATGAGATAAAACAGAAGAGCCATCAGAAGGGTGGGATACCCGATTTGTTTCATTGATAAGACAGGGAGAGTAGACTTTGGACCAGACCTGATTTTAAGATAGAGTTCAAATTCTGAGATAAGGCAAGGGGGAGGAAAGTTACCCAGTCCATGCCAATCTCTAAGGCCAAAATCAAATTTTGTGCCAATCTTGCGCACAGCGCCACTGCTTTGAAACCCGCCAGCAGAGCCTGGCAATAGACATGTGTGGGGAGCAACCCGGACTGGACTGAGTTACTGGAATTAAGACTTATTCTATGCATCTGCTCTCCCACAATGTGGCGCTGGGAGAGGAGCGTACAGCTTCTACCCAACTGCCTCTCACCAACTTGACAAGCTGCAAGAGCCGCTCCTGATTGGAGGAGAGCAGCGTACTCGGCGTGTGGGCAGCCGAGTTGGGATTGGCGGAGGAGGACTATAAAGGAGGAGAGAGACAACATGCACCAGGAACACCTGAGGAACACCTGTGCAGCCCCGAGAGAGCCGGCCGGTGGTGTGCCGCTCCCCCGCGGAAGTGGGGAATGTGGCAGGGGGAACCGCCCTTCCACGGAGGTGGAAGGGACGGTAGCCAACCCGGGAAGAACCAGCAGCAAACCCGGGGAGGGCCGAGCAGACGAAAGAACAACACAGGGTCCTGTGTCGTTCCTCCACGAAGACAGGGAGCGACAGACATGGACTCTCTCCTTTACAGAAATTAACCCAATTGTAATTGTCCTTTTTAACATTTACATTGTTTTAACATGCCAGAGGCTGTTCACCTTGGAGACCTGTTGCAGATATGGGTATGGCCCGGCGTGAGAGATTTATACCCTCTCCCCCAGATTTTTAAGGGCCAGCAAGAGCTCAGGGATGCCGCCAGCCCCCCAGGGCTCCCGCTGGCTTTCCGCGCTTTATTGAAATTTTTTACTTTGACATTTAGAGCACTGGGCAGAAATCACATCGCGTCAACATATGCCACGGGCCCTCAGGATGCTTTAACAATTGGATTCCCCTGGTCTGCACCACTTCTAAGTTGGCTGTTAGGTGCTGGCCAAGGCCAGCCGCTGCATGGAACTGAAGCCACAGGGGTGGGCCCGGCGGGGGGAGGGGCCACGCACTGCATGGCACTGCGGGAAAAGGAGAGGGGTCTCCTCCTCGCACCCCGACCCCGGGAGCACCGCGCATGCAGAGCCTGCCAGACTCCCCGAAGGCGGCCACAACTCCCATCGCAGCTGGGGCAATCCATGGGAAGGGCCCAGCTCTCATCCAGAGTCCCCGCCGCCTGCTCCCCAGGTGCCGGGGGAAGGCGCATACCCAACTCCACTTTGCGCTCCAGCCCGACCGACCCAGCCCTTAACCTACATTATTATGAGCCACCTTTTTTTTTACATTTTTTTTTTACTGTGCAAGAGTTAGATCCAGTGGAGTCACCCCCATGTTCTGTCGAGTTAAGTCAGTTGTCAACAGAAATAACACAAACACCACTTAACGAAAAGACAAACACAGGGCCCATATAGAATTTCTGCGGACAGATTCAGATGGTCATATTACAGAAGATCTCGACTGCTCCGGGAGTCTGAAGGAGACCAAAGACCTTACAGATGGGACGAGAACTCTGCAGCAGTCCCTGTTCTCTTCGTCCCCAGATACAGATTGGACCTACCCAGGTCCCAGATGAGGAATCGGGACATCTCCCATTTCCTGCGGGGTGTGCCCTGCAAGCGTGTCCCCTTGGGCAGTGACCCTCCACAGATTCAGAATACAGATACAACGGCCGATGCTTCAGATTCATTGTTTAACGAACAAACAAACAAACTCACCCAGTCAACTGAAGCAAACCTTCGGGGTCGAAGTAGCTGAGGGGCTTTTTGGGGATCACAATCCCAGACAAGCCCACAAATATGTTGTGCCCAGATCATTAGATCCCCGCAGAGACCCCCAGAGAGTTGATCACACCAAACTGCAAGAGCAAGGTTTCTTCGGGAGTACAAGCCACAACAGGGACCCCATCCAACGAACCCGTGCAGCAGAGGAAGGAGTGAGGCCCCAGTCTTTGTTTGGGAGTGTTTTTAAAGGAAAAATGGGCTACATCAGCAGGAAAAAAGAGTTCATACAGCATGGAAGCTTTGGGTACAGGGAGTTGCAGTGGGGGCTTACAGCACCGGAGCTTTGGGTACAGGGAGTTACAGTGGGGGCTTACAGCACCGGAGCTTTGGGGGCAGGGAGTTACTTTGTTTAGCAATCTCTACTGTGCTGTCCTTGGTCTACCGAGCTAGCTGTCCCTGGTAAAGTTTGATATCTCTGGAATGCCTGAATGCCTGCTTTTACAAGGACCTGGGTCTGCTATGGGAAATGGAGGCTGCTGTTTTTATTGTTTTAAAATGGAGTAATTTTGGTTCTTCACCACCTGGGTCTGTGACCCAGATCCTGCCTTGTGATGAGGGATGATGAGGCTGGCAGGGAGGCAGCTGTCGTCTCTGCATGGGCAGCGGAAGCTGGGGCCCAGTGGCTGTAGAAAAAGGCTGCCCTGGCTCAAAGCTGAAGAGCCCTGGAGGCGGAGCCTAATAAAGAATGTGTAAATAAAGGTCAGGTGTCATAAAGGGTGGGGCGGGGTGCACAGTTGCTAAGGCACGTGCTCCAAGGGGCTGCCATAATCCATCAGCTCCTGCTCAGGGCATACTGCATGTGCCCCAGCAGCCTGAGTCACTGTATCCTGAAAACCCCGTCAATGACCCATCTGTGCCTGTGGGTCCCATGGCTCCTCTTCAAGTGGCAACTGCTGTGGCTGCTGGTCCAGGCGACTCAGCCTCTGGAGTGGACCCAGGACCTGGTCCAGCTGACCTCCAGCCTCCCTTGGCTCTCTGAGCCCTGGTCTTCCCACTCCTCGAACTTCCCACCTGAATCACCTGACGCGCTCACACCCATGGCAGACCCCAGCAGCTTTGATGACCTGGGGTCTTCTGCTCCCTCCCAGGTGCTGGCCTCGCCTCAAGAGTCCACTGTGAGTTTGCTTCCTTTTCTGGACATGGATTCAGCTCAAGGGCTGCCCCTAGAGTCAGAACAGCTTGCTGTTCCATATCAGTATTTCAATAGGCTGACTCAACAACAGAGGCTACCAGAGGCCATTCCCGTGCTAGACGGGGATCAGGATCAGCCCCTGGCTCTGCCTCCTCGACTGGAAGGAAATGCTCACCAGTCATTGGAAGCACTCGTTCTGCCTCTAGACAGAGTTCACAAGGAAACAAGTTGATTGTTTCACCCCTGACTCCAAGAAAGATCTAGCTCGGCGTCGACGGCTTCCTAAGGTTGGTGTGGAACTCCAGACAAAGCAGACAAGCTTCAGGGTCAAAATCAAGTTTTGCTGGCTGACTATGGGGTCTATCCTGGTGGTTTTCATACAGAATCCCAGGAGAACCCAGGAGAACCTGCACAGCCCTCTGAGCAGGCTGAACCATCTCAATTCCTGATGGAAGGCCAGACTCAAAATCCAGAGACTCAGGAGCCCATCCAATCCTCCTCCCCACAGCAAGAAGAACAAGCCCCGCCTCCACAGCCCGTTGAACCAGATGAACCTTCTTCACCCCAGCAAGAGGGCCCAGGTGCAGACCTGCAGCAGCCCAAGGAAGAAGCATCTCCATTGCAGCAGGAGGCCCCTGCTCAGAATCCATTTGCTACTGCAGAAGTAGCAGGTCAGGCATCAGTGTATCATGATCCTAACACTCTATCCTCACCTCAGATTGTAGCTCTCCAAGCAAACTTCCCCAGCGTCACACTGAAACCTGCAGACACGGAGCTGACAGAAGCCTCAGGGGCAGGTGAGGAAGTTCAATCTACTCCAAGCACGGAGCAGGCTCCAGCTCAGCCTCTGGGGCATCCTGAGGGAGTGGGACTCCCCTCAGCCCAACAAGAGGCCCCAGTGCAGACTCCGGAATTCCCTGGGAGGGTGGAATCTGGACTCAAGAGGGTCTAGCTCAGACTTCAGATCTCCCTGAGGAGACTGGACCTTTCTCTACCCAAAACGATGCCACAGCTCAGCCCTCAGAGTATGCTGAGGAAGTCAGCCCATCTGTAGGCCAGCAGGGGGCCCCAGCTCAGCCTCCAGGCCTGCCTGTGAACACTGATATTCCCCAGCAATCAGGAGCAGCCTGCTCAGCCTTCTGAGTCTCCTGAGATCGAAACCTTCTAGAAGCCAACTGGAAGACCCGGAGAAGCCTTGGCACTCCCTGTGGAAGTCACATCTCCAGTACAGCAAGATCCCGAGCTCAAGCGCTAGAATCTCCTGAGAGAATATCATAGCTCAGACACAACCAGATTCAGAGGGGACAGACTGGTCTCTAGATCAGAATCAAGTTCACCGTTATAACCTGCCCAACGTGACATCAAGCATGCAGATGTGGCGCTGACCATAACTCCGGAGCCAACATGGAGCGGGACTCTGCCAGCGCAGAGGGGGCTCTGCTCAGACTCCAGGCCCTCCTGTGGAGACAGAACCCTATATTAGTGATCAGGAGCAGCCCACTCAGTATGTTGAGTCTTCTGTAGAGAACAAACCCTCTCCAGCCCAGCAGGAGACCCCATATCAAACTCTGGGCCCTTCCCTGGAGACAGAAGCTTCTCCAGCCCAGCAGGAACCCCCAGAGCCGACTCCAGTCCCTTCTGCAGAGACAGAACCTTCCCCATTGCAGCAGGCACCCAGAGCTCACACTGCACGCCCTTCCGTGGAGGCAGAACCTTCTCCCCGTGAACAGGAGCAGATAGCTCAGTATGCGGAGGCTCTGGTGGAGACTCAGCCTCCTCCAGGCCCTCCCGTGGAGACAGAGCCTTCTCTCAGAAACAGCAGCAGATTGCTCAGTACGCGGAGGCCCTGGTGGAGACTCAAGCTCCTCCAGGCCAGCTGGAGGCCCTAGCTCTGACTCCAGTCCCTCCTATGGAGACAGAACCTTATATCAGTGAGCAGGAGCAACCAAGGCGGCCCTCTGAGTCTTCTGAGGAGGTTGAATCTTCTGGAAAGAAGACAGAAGTCCCAGCCCAGCCTCCAAGTCCTCACGCAGTGACCATTTTATCTCCCAGTCACTATCAAGTTCAGCAGTACGACTTGCACAATGTGACTACTAAACCTCCAGACCTGCAGCTGACTGTAACACCAAAACCTGCAGCAGAAGTGGAAACATTTCCAGTCAGCCATCAGGCCATGACAACTCAGGCCTCAGTCCCAGCTCTGCCTCCAAAGCCTCTTGAAGAGGTTGAACCATTGCCAATTCAATCCCCAGAAGTTATGCAGGATGAGAAACCCTCTATGACCCAACAGGAGGAAACAGCTGAAAATGTACAGACCCCAAGGAGGCTGAGCCTTCTCCAATCCATCAGGAAGCCCAAGCTCTGAGGCCCAGGTGCAACTGCCCTGTGCCAAGCTCACTCCAAAACAGGCATCCTGATGAAGCCTCAGTGAGCAGCAGGAAGAAAAGATAGCCAAGAAAGAATGGGACACAGAGCAGTGGAGGACTGAGACCTATATCAATGAGAGTACAGAAGCCCCGAGTGGACAGAAAGAGCAGGAGTCGAGTAAGGTGAGGACAGGAGACCTGCACTTTCCCATCACTTAGGAGACCCACATGGGAAGACCAGGGGCTCCCAGTCCAGATCCCTTGGCTCTCTGAGCCCTGGTCTTCCCACTCCTTGAATGTCCCACCTGAATCGCCTGACTCGCTCACACCCATGGCAGACCCTGGCGGCTTTGATTACCTGGGTCTTCTGCTCCCTTCCAGGTGCTGGCACACCACACCCACTTCCATGCCTACTCCTTCTCTGGGCACCTCTCCCTCCTTCCTCTAGTCTCATATTCAAGAGCAACAATTGGCCACCAGGCACCTACCCAGATGTCCTGGCCGCACACCTCAAGAACGCCTTTGCTGGCACCTTGGCTCACCTGTTTGACCCACCCAAGGAACCCCTTTACAGGTAACTTAGTTCTTTGTTTCTATTCATAGGATCTTACCTAGCCATATGGCCTGCTGCCTCTGCCAATTTAAACATACTATCAAGAGTGTCTGCATGACCATCAAGCCTGGCAAATACGACACATTGGCGTGAGTCGGAACTACCTGATGATCTTTTTTTTTAATTTTTATTTGTTTTAAATTTCTTACTTTAAAATTTTAGGGACAAGTTTAAAGTAACAATGTGATTAACTGCTATATTTTTATTCATCCATTCAGATTTCAACTCCCTAAATTGCTAAACTGCTCCCTTGCTAAAAGTCAGGTTCCCAATTACCAATGTAATTTAATAATGTAACTTACATATGCACAAAGGATCATGAAAAAGAGATGGAAGGGGAAGGAAGTAATGTTGGGAACCACACATGTGGTGTTCTGTGCTCTTGGGTGCTTTGCTTTCCAATGATAACTCATTTGCACACAGTCTATAAACTGGTTTTCTATGTGTTGGGCCTCAAGGGCCCTCTGTCTTATAGAACAGGTCTACACTGCTCACTGCGGTTGTTTGTTTTTGCACTTGTAGAAAAGAGTACAAGTGATGCTGTTTTATTGGGAGCCTGGGAGTTTCTGGTCCCACAACCAGAAATGGCTGCCTGGCTCCTCTGATGCAGTCGGAAGGCTCCTCCATTCCTGTAGACTGTCCAATTCTGAACCTGCTGAGTCTCACACTTTTCTATCCACAGAACACTCGGGTACTTTTAAGTATTTCTGTAGATGAGGGTTATTACCACTGATGTCATGACTTCCAAAATGTGACCACTTTCTTCCTTAGACAGCTTGAATTCGGATCTCAGTCAGGGATCTGAGGCATTAGCACAGTGATAACTGTATACCCATCTACACAGTGTTGCTCACCTTCCAGACCAGTTTCCTACCAATTTTATTATTCCCTTCGTCTCAAGAGGTGAGAAGGACAAGCATTGTTAATCTCCCTTTACAAGGGTGGGAAAGAACACATTGAGGTGAGGAGCAAGGCCCCTTGGCTTGACCACCTCTGCCCTCACTCCCCTTACATGCCTATCTTTTGCCATGGACACCTGTGATGGCAGCAAGAACACAGGGCCACAGGGAGGGAGGGAGGGAGGAAGCCTGTGCTCCCTCAGCATGAGGCAGGACTGTGGAATGATGTGGCTGAGAAGCAGGGGCAGAGCCACAAGGGGCAGCTGGGTGGGGCCATTTGTCCTCCAGCCTTATTCTAAGCCTGGAGTGGTTGGTCATTGGAAACCAATGAAAAATACTGATCATAGTTACTGCTTTTTTTTTTTTTTTTTTTGATAGGCAGAGTGGACAGGAGAGAGAGAGACAGAGAAAGGTCTTCCTTTGCCGTTGGTTCACCCTCCAATGGCCGCCGCTGCAGCCGGCGCCGCGCTGATCCGATGGCAGGAGCCAGGATCCAGGTGCTTTTCCTGGTCTCCCATGGGGTGCAGGGCCCAAGCACCTGGGCCATCCTCCACTGCACTCCCTGGCCATAGAGAGAGCTGGCCTGGAAGAGGGGCAACCGGGACAGAATCGGTGCCCGACCGGGACTAGAACCGGTGTGCCGGCGCCGCAAGGTGGAGGATTAGCTATTGAGCCACGGCGCCGGCCATAGTACTGCTTTTTTAACAACTGTGAACTCTTCTGAACGCCCCTCTCAAAAATACCTTTTTCCTTTGTGTTGCCATTTCATAAGTTTGAGTTTGGTTTTACTTTCTCTCTAAAGTCTCAATGATGGCCGGCACGGCTCAGTAGGCTAATCCTCCACTAGCGGCACTGGCCCACTTGGTTCTAGTCCCGGTCGGGGAGCTGGATTCTTTCCCGGTTGCCCCTCTTCCAGGCCAGCTGTCTGCTGTGGCCAGGGAAGGCAGTGGAGGATGGCCCAAGTGCTTAGGCCCTGCACCCCATGGGAGACCAAGAGAAGCACCTGGCTCCTGCCTTTGGATCAGCGCGGTGCGCAGGCCACAGCACGCCAGCCGTGGCGGCCATGGAGGGTGAACCAACGGCAAAAGGAAGACCTTTCTCTCTGTTTCTCTCTCTCTCACTGTCCACTCTGCCCGTCAAAAAATTCTTTTTAAATTTAAAGTCTCAATGGTACCCCAAATATTAGATTTGACTCCTAATTTAATTGATCAGAGTGTAGGGCTGTGGACTGACATAAAACTGTCCCATCAGTCTTCTGTGCCAAAAAGCAGTCTCTTCTTTTTTGACAGTTGAAGAAGCATCTATAGGGAACCCAAAGGGGGCATTCATGAAGATATTGCAAGCCTGGAAGAACAACAGCAAGCAGCTGACTATTGAGCCAGAGAACCCATTATGTACAGACCCCCGTGGAGGCTGGACCTTTCCAATCCATCAGGAAGCCCAAGCTCACGCCTCAGTGTTCCCTACGGAGCATGAGCCTTTGAAAGACCAGGAGGCAGACACAGCTCAGCAGCCAAAGCCCCGGAAGAGGATGAGCACTCCCCACTTCCAGGGTCCCAGCTCAGCCTGAAGAACTGAAGGAACCTTCACCAAGCCAGCAGGGGATTTCCATTCCACTCTAGAGTGCCCCGTAAGTGCTTACCAATTACCACTCCAACAGGGAAACACAAACCAGCCTTCAGTAATCTTCCCAGAGATGAGTGATGCTATCCCAATGAATATGACATTATTTTCACCTCTTATTCCGAAGAAGAAATACTTAGAACTCAGCATTTAAGGTTGTCTAAAACCACACCAAACATGTGGATATTGACCTTACCAGAACCCTAAAGCCCACTCCAGAAGTTTATCCTTACTGGAGTCAGCAGGAAGGACCTGCCCAGCCTACAGTTCCCACCGAGTGAGTTGAATTTCTCCAACCCAGCTTGAGCCTCCTCTTGCCAAGCCTCCGGCACTGCCTGAAAAGATGGAACTTTCTCAGCTGAGCCTCCAGAGCCCCTCAAGAATGCAGAACAAGCTCCAGTACAAAATGTAGCCCCAGCCAAGCCACAAGACTTCCCTAACACTCAATCGTCTGCAACCCAGCAGGAGCTTCAAACTCAGCAACCAAACCTGACCAAAGTCACAGGTCAACCTTTGGATGTGGAACTCACCATAACTACACAACCTGGAATGGAAGGCGGACTTTCTCCAATCATGCAGGAGGCCCCAGTTCAGCTTCCAGGGCCATCTAAGGGGGGTATAGCTCAACCCCCAGGATATCAGGGGGTGACAGTTCCAACACCAGCTCAGGATCAAGATCAGTTTCCAAAATCACCCCGCATCACGTTTTGACCTTTTGATCTGGCACTTACAATAACTCCACAGCCCATTACAGAGGCTGAACTTGCCACAAATGTGCAGGAGACTCCAACTAAAGAAACTGTAGCTCAGTACCAGTGCATCATGTGATGACAGTTCCAACATTAGGTCAGGATCAAAATCAACCTCCACTATCACCCAGTGTCACAAATCAACCTTTAGACCTGGCACTTACCATTACTACAGAACCTACTACAGAGGCTGAGCATCCTGCAGACCTGAGCAAGACTACAGCTCCATCTTCAAACCTGACTCCAGTCACAACTCAACATCTGGACCTGGGACTTACCATAACTCCAGAAACCAGCAGTATGGTGACTGAACCCTCTACAGACATGCAGGAGACCTCAAGTCAACCTCCCACGGAGGGTGTAACCCAATCTCCAATACATCAAGAGGTGACAGTTCCAACACTGGGTCATAATCAAGCTCAATATCCAACATTGCCTCACATCACAGTTCAGCCTTTGGACACAGTGCTTACCATAAATGCAAAGTACCAGGAAGGCTGAACATTCTACAGCCCTGAAGAAGACTAAAGTACCTCCCGTGCTCCATGAGGAGGTACTTTCACAACCCACCAGGTTCAGGCTCAGCATCCAACCCTGACAGAAGTCACAGTTCAACCTTTTGATGTAGAACTTACCCTAACTCCAGAATGTTGTGAAGGGTGAACCACTCCCAACCATGCAGGAGACTTCAGGGCAGCCTCCAGGGCCACATAATGAAGTGGTCTATCATCCTCCAGTTTATTATGAGAATGTAGTTCCAAAACCAAGTCAAGATCAAACTCTGCATCCATTGTCACCCAGTGCCACAGCTGAACCTTCAAAGCTAGAGCCAACCATAACTCAGTATCCACTACACAGGATGACATTCTACAGCCTTCAAGTCTATATCTCCTCCTCCTTATCCAATGTACCCTGAGGTGACATTTTGACATTTTCTTTTTTTTCTTTTTTTAAATTTTTTATTTAGTAAATATAAATTTTCAAAGTACAGTTAATGGATTACAATGGCTTCCCCCCCACAATTTCCCTCCCACTCACACCCCTCCCACTCCCGCTCCCTCTCCCATTCCATTCACATCAAGATTCATTTTCAATTATCTTTATATACAGAAGATCAATTCAGTATATATTAAGTAAAGATTTCATCAGTTTGCACCCACACAGAACATAAAGTGTAAAATACTGTTTCCATACTAGTTATAGCATTACTTCACATTGGACAACACACTAAGGACAGATCCCACATGAGAAGTAAGTACACAGTGACTCTGTTGTTGACTTAACAATTTGACACTCTTGTTTATGGCATCAATAATCTCCCTAGGCTCTTGTCATGAGTTGCCAAGGCTATGGAAGCCTTTTGAGTTCACCGACTTTGATCTTATTCCGACAGGGTCATAGTCAAAGTGGAAGTTCTCTCCTCCTTCAGAGAAAGGTACCTCCTTCTTTGATGGCCCCATTCTTTCCACTGGGATCTCACTCAGAGATCTTCCATTTAGGTCTTCCTTTATTTTTTTCCCAGGGTGTCTTGGCTTTCCATGCCTAAAATACTCTCATGGGCTCTTCAGCCATATCCGAATGCCTTAAGGGCTGATTCTGAAGAGTGCTATTTAGGGCATCTGCCATTCTATTTTACTGTGTATCCCACTTCCCATGATGGATTGTTCTCTCCTTTTTGATTATCAGCTAGTATTAGCAGACACTAGACTTGTTTGTGTGATCCCTTTGACTCTTAGACCTATCAGTGTGATCAATTGTGAACTGAAATTGATCACTTGGACTAGTGAGATGGCATTGGTACATGCCACCTTGATGGGATTGTATTGGGATCCCCTGGCATGATTCTAACTCCACCATTTGGGGCAAGTCCGATTGAGCATGTCCCAAATTGTACATCTCCTCCCTCTCTTATTCCCACTCTTATATTTAACAGGGATCATTTTTCAGTTAAAATTTAAACACCTAAGAATAATTGTGTGTTAATCACAGAGTTCAACCAATAGTACTAGAACAAAACAAAGAGAAAATACTAAAATGGATAATGAAATAAATGAGATCCGCTTCTTGCATTTCTTCTATCTCATCATCTTCATAATCTTGAATTGGGGTGTCTTTTTCATTTGGGGGCATCATAGTGTCTTCCTTGTTCTTATTACCTTGGTTTTTGCGTTTGTTGTTTGGCATATTGGAGATATTTGGTTTCTTCACTGTGGTGCTTTTTCTTGTTATACTATGATCTGGATTAAGTGGACTGTCTGTTTTGATGGAGCCTTAGAGGCATGAGATGGGTGTGGCCTGAGAGCTCTGTTTGGTTCCTCAGGGTTAAGGGTGTGCCAAAGGTGACAGTCCCAGGTAAGGCATGGTAAATCTCTCTCTCTTTCTTTCTTTTGATTCAAAAGGGAAGTAATTCCACACAGCTGAACAGAATTGGAGGTAGTTAGCAGGCAAATAATATACCCACAGGAGCCAGAGATCGGAAGCTCTTTCCCAAGGACCACACAGGGAATCTGTCCTGCCCTCAGTGTGGGCTCAAATTCTCCTGCAGTCTCCCACTGGGTTGCCAAGGTTACTGAATTGTAGCATCTCTGGAGAGTACTCACGTGAATTCTGTGAGTTCCTCCCCCATCGTCTCTTTTTTCACAGTCTCAGCTCAGTAGCACACACACGCACTAGGTCCTAATCTCCAGTTAATCACCCCCCACCCCAAGTTAGGTTTTTCTGCTAGGCTCAGGGCCGGTGCAGACCTGAGGTCCCTGCTTATGACGTATGTCCAAGATGGCGCCTGCTCTTTGTCTTGCTCGCCTATGAGAGGTGAGCAGAGAGAGAGAAACTCATGTCTGTATCGGTCATTTTTTTTCTCTCTCTCTCTCTCTTCTAGTTAGCCTGGTGAACTTTTACCGTTTCTAGTCTCTTTCTGCTTGCCTGAGTGTCTCGGGCTATTGAGGTTCAGCTCACCTTGCGTTCCAGCACTGGTGTGTTGAGTCTGCCGCTGGTGTCCAAACTGTGGGCTCCCACGCTCTCCACACAGGTCCACCAAAGTCTTAACTCCAGAGATTGATGTTTGCTCAAGTCTTACTGAGGCAGTTTGAGCTTCTTCAATTTTCCTTCTCCCCTTCCAGCACTGGCGCGCAGACTCTGCGGCTCCCGTGGCTGGCTTCCACGTGGTGGGCAACCTTGCTCCCCGTAGGTCCTCCGAGTCACAGCCACTAGATCCGGAAGTTTCCTCTGCAATTTTTTCCTGATCCTTTTCCTGAGGCTACCGTAACTCCACTTTTATTAAACTATCTTTTCCCAGACTATCGGTGCGCGCCCTCACTATTCCGCCATCCTCCTGAGGTGACATTTTCACCTCCAGTCCAGATTCAGACTCAGCATGCAAACCTACCTCCAGTCACAGTTAAGCCTTGGGACCTGGAAATTACCCACACCCACAACTACTACAGAGGTTACACCTTCTACTACCATGCAAATGACCCTAACTCAGTCTACAGAGCCACTAAAGGAGCTTGTAACTCAGTCCCCAGGGTACAATGAGATGACAGTTCCAACAGCAGGTCAGCATCAAGCTCAGCACCCAACATCACCCAGTGTCATAGCTCAGCCTTCCAAGATGGAGCTTACCAGAACTCTGGTACCCACTGCAAAAGCTGGCCATTCTCCATCCCTGAAGAAGACTACAGATCTACATCCAGGCCAGGTTCAGACTCAGCACTCAACCCTAACTGAAGTCACAGATCAACCCCTGAATGCGGCTGCCACCATAAATGTCTGTGAGCTCTGCTCCTGCAAAGATGAGACACTTTCATGCACTGGCCTCAGCCCAGTGCAGAAGCTTCACAAGTTCCTGTACCAGAGCCCAACAGCTACAACTGGCACCTTCAGCATATTGTAAGAATCTCCCTTCCTCATGGTTCCCTACAGCCTGCCTGTCTCAGCAGCTTTTCCTCAAGAGCCTCCTGAGCCCTCCTCAAGTCCCCACCTTATGTTGACTGTGTGTGTGTGTGCGTGTGTGTGTGTGTGTT